GCCTGTTCTGATGCGTCACAGAAGACGTGAATCTCATGTCTACAGGATGGGTGATCCATCTTCGAGCTGAAGTAACATCTGGGCAGAGATATCTCATCTAGTCTGCTCAACTCTTTCTCCCATTCTCACTACAAGGTAAGGAGGTCCTCAGGTAACTGTGGGTCATCCCAGTCATGTCTCTTGTCCCATAGACGCGGCACCAATATCTTGGCTCTGGTAGTATAAGGGATGATATAACCGAGGGGGTCATATTGGCTTGCCAGTACACAGTAGATGTTGCGCATTGTCACGGTGGAGCAGCGTTTACTTCTATGTTTGTAGCGGAGAGTGTCAGACTGGCAGTGCTGTAAAGCATCAGCTTCCAGCACCTCACAGTGATGCAAACGACCTCCTACTCTAATCAGTCCCGTAGCAGAGTCAAGTTCCGGGGAGAGTGAAGCCAATCTGCTTCTGCCTGACACTGGTTTTCCTGACCTCAGGAGACTCAACTCAGCAGGAAAGGACTCAGCTTGGGCTTGACAGAGGATCTTACATTGAACTTCTCTCTGGGTGTCAGCGCATGATGTGTAGGCCACCCCATGAAGCTCCTGACCACAGGCATCTAAGTAGGCTGACAGAGTGTCGTATTGCTCTGGCTTTGGCAAGGGTGTGGTAACAGTCACTGACCCACAGAACGCATACCATCTTAACTCACGGCTTTGCTCTTCAAGAGATAAGGGAGGTTGTTCAGGCCAGCTATCTAGTGGCAGCTTGAGGAATGGTGGACCCTGACTCCACCGACTCCCTCTCGAGAGGTCTCGGAGAAACTTGCCTCGAGTTATATCGTCCGCTGGGTTGTCTCCAGATTTGACATAGTGCCAGGAAGCAGATGCTGTCAGCTCTTGAATCTCTGCTACACGTGTCCCTACAAACACTTTGTAGCGGCATGAGCTGGATTTCAACCATGTAAGCACTGCGGTGGAGTCTGACCAGAGTGCAACAGAGTGTATGGGGATTGTAAGTTCTGTAACTAGGAGTTTGGAAAGTTGAGAACCACTGAGAGCTGCACATAGCTCCAGACGGGGTATGGACTGCTGCTTGCGGTTGGCAACTCTAGACCTGGCAGCCATAAAGGCAACTTCAACTTGTCCCTCTTTACTCTCTGTCCGCAGGTAAGCCACTGAGCCGTATGCCTGTTCTGATGCGTCACAGAAGACGTGAATCTCATGTCCACAGGACGGGTGATCCATCTTCGAGCTGAAATAACATCTGGGCAGAGAGATCTCATCTAGTCTACTCAACTCTTTCTCCCATTCACACCACAAGGTAAGGAGGTCCTCAGGTAACTGTGGGTCATCCCAGTCACGTCTCTTGTCCCATAGACACTGCACCAATATCTTGGCCCTGGTAGTATAAGGGATGATATAACCGAGGGGGTCATATTGGCTTGCCAGTACACAGTAGATGTTGCGCATTGTCACGGTGGAGCAGCGTTTACTTCTATGTTTGTAGCGGAGAGTGTCAGACTGGCAGTGCTAGTGGAGTCCAAGTGTAGACTCACAGACATCTTGCTGACCTTGAAGGAGCCAGAGATCACAGGCATCTGACCTAGATTCAGGGGGGAGGTGATTAATTGCGGATGGGCAATTGCTGGCCCACTGCCACAGTTCAAAGCCACCAGAAGCTAAAAGTGAACAGAGATGATCAACCAAGTCTTTGGCTTCTTCTTTGGAGGTAACACTATGCAGACAATTGTCAACATAAAACGACCTTTCAATTACTTCTCGGACTTTGTCTCCAGGCAGGCTATGATCCACGACGTGCCTCTGCAGGGCGTAGGTGGCACAACAAGGGCTGCATGTCGTGCCGAAGGGAAGCACCTGCCATTGATACACGTCTGGAAGTTGCTCTGGCTTCAAATCCCTCCACAGGAATCGAAGTAAGGGCATGTCATCAGGGAGCAGCCTCACCTGGTGAAAGATACCTTTGATGTCACTGCTTACAGCTATGGAGTGCTCATGGAAGCGGAGTAACACGGCCAGCAGTGATGGGCTTAACGTGGGTCCTGGAAGAAGGAACTGGTTTAGGTTGTGACCCTCGTACTCGAAGGAACAGTTATAGACAACTCTGTTTTTGCTATTATGCTGCACCATGTGGTGGGGAATGTACCACAACTCTTTGGAGTTCTCAACCTCACTTGGCTCCAGCTTTACTGCATAGCCAGCCTCCTTCAGTTTAGCGATCTCAGCCTGGTAGGTTGAAGCCTGATCAGAGTTCTTTAGCAGTTTCCTTTCCACACTCCTAAGTTGAGGGAGAACGGCTTCTTTGGGCATGGTTAAGTGTGGCATGTTCTTTGCCCGAAGGAGTGGCGTGGCATAACGCATAATGCCGTCAACTTTTACACTTGTTGTTTTCTCCTGTAGCAGTTGGATGGCTTCCTGATCCAGCTTGGATCGTGTTACAACCTTTTCACTGTGGTAGGGAACCACATCCATCTGCCACAGTCTCTCAACATGAGCGAACAGGTCAGAGTTGGGGGGAACAGATGTGAAAAGTGGTGAACATTTAGTCCATGTTTAATCTCATGCATGGGGCCTTGAAGTGTCCATCCTAGGCGGGTCTTAACTGCTGCAGGTCCGCCTGGTGGGCCTAGCAGGACGGGTTCAATAGGTGTGATGAGATGCGGGCAGTCTGAACCAATCAACAGCACAGGTTGTACTCTATCTATTTGTTGCAGTGGAAGACCTGCTAGATGTCGATGCTTCTTCTGTAAAGATGTCACTACGTAGGTATGTTCAGCAAGGCCAAGTCTCTCAGCTGTGAATGCACCTCTGATGAGGAATTTCTTGTGAGAGTTGGACACGGGAGACACTGTGAAAGAAACAGCCGCCCCATGAAGTACCTGCTGATCTTGCTTCACTGTTCGCAGTATCAGGTCTTCTGGCTGTCCTTTGAGGTTCAGCTGCTGAGCTGCGGCATGGAGGAGAATAGTCCTTTCAGACCTGTCATCCAGCACTGCATATGTCTCCATTGATGCATCCCCATTTGTTATGATTACCTTACTTACTTTCAGGAGTACTCTGCGGCAGCAGACAGAACGGTCCACATAGAAGATATCCTTTGTGGTACTCACAAGGCAAGAGTTCTCTTTGGGTTCAGCCTCAGCGCTGGTATTCACAACTCGCTCATTCAAGTCGTGCAATACTAGGAGGTGTTTCCTATTGCAAGTCTTGCACAGAGCCTTCAAAGTGCAGCTGGATGCGTGATGATTGCGGCCACACCGCCAACATCGGTTATTCTTGCGAATCCAGGCTTCTTTGTGGTCTCTAGTCAGCTCTGTAAAGTTGTGACATCCATTAAGGAAATGGCTAGCAGTGTCACAATAAGGGCAGTAGGCACGTGACCTACCTCTGTACCTGTTGGAGCTAGGTCTGGACTCTGGAGCAGACCCTCTGGGTTCACCGGATAACTGTTGGGCTTGAAGGTGAAGCTCATCATCCTCTGATTGTGTATCCTCAAATGTCAATCGCCATTCGTCTTGAAGTAGTAGATCACCTGCATATGAGGGCTGGTTCTTTGGAGATGATGATCTCGATACATACTCTGGCATGGGTGGAGCTTCCTCTACTCCGGCTTCATCCAAATGTGCAGTTGGTACTGCTCTCTTCACATAGCCTGATCCAGGGACTTGATAATCTGCCAAATGTGCAGGTGGCCTTATTTGTCGTCGAGGGCGGACAACAGGAGGATCTGGCTTGGAATTGGACGTCATCTCTCTGCTGTGATTCATCATCCGGCTCGAAGGACCACTTGAAATGTAGGGGGTTCGGAAGATGCACTATTTGGATGGGTATGAAACGCAGCAGGCAGTCGGTTAGGACTCTTAATTGAAGAGGCACCAAGCAATGTCTAGGTTCCTTTTAGTTTACTGAAGAACTTGTAGTATACATGTGTGGTTTTCTTTCACATGCACGCACACAGTAACTCGATATAAACTAGGACTTAATGGCAATCCAGCGTGGATGGATAAGTATTAGACCGAAGCTGGCGGACTTTCCACTCTCTCACGAGTGACGCAGCTTCTTTTCACTTCTTCTTCATAAGCACGGGATGATGTGGTAGCATCGAGCACTCTGACTGGTTGGGATTATCCGGGACATTCAAGAATATCTGGGTCTTTTGTACAGTATTTGTATTTAAATACATTTACAGTATTTTGTAGTTATATTTAAATACATTTTTCCACACAGTATTTTGTATTTTAATTACATTTTGATGTATTTGTGCCCATCTCTGGACGTGGTAAAGTAAATCTGACAGCAATATAAAGTAAGTCCAGTCTGAATTAACTTGTTTTAAAGTGCAGATTCACTGTATTTCTGAGCATGTTCTTCTGTTTCTTTGACTGACTCTTACCAGCTACATGCTATGGTTTGAGCTGTCACTGGTGAAAATGGTAAGATCACATGACAGCAATAGACAGTGCTCGGGGTGGGGCAGTACGCACCGGTACACAGTACCTGCACTTTACAATACTTTATACAATACTTTAATCTTTTGTGTTCCTTTACATTTTCTTATGTACGTTGACGTCTGGTCACTATAACAAAAAAAGTGTCAGTAATAGCATTTTTGGGCTAGTGTGATATATATGACATGATATGATATGATATGAAGAAATCATATTACCCAGATTAAGACTAGGGAAAACAAAGTTTCAATATTTTATTCTCAGTGCATCCCATGAATTGTGAGATTTGCAGGATTTCAGAAAATACAGGAAAAATGTATTTTGTGTGAACTGAAGCCCAGTGCTTTTAAAGGGACAAGATTTGGGACCAATACAAAATTATTGGTATTTTGCAGTGTTGTGGGAGCTATTCTGAAATTTAAGTGCAACTGAGAGAACACTGGACATCATTATGCAACGTCACATGGTACATGTTTATTATACCGATTTATACCCGAAAGATGATGTAGATCCACATCGGTCCAGTAGGTGACAGTATGCGCACTGAGATCTGCGCACTGCCATTGATGAATAGAAGAAGAACACAAAACCTGGCTCGAAGAAGACTCTGGAGGAATCATGGCGGTGGATAAGAAAGATGCGCGATCAGGAAAAGCTCCTAAAAAAGAGTCCCAGCCTTTAATTATCGCCAAAACTCCAGCAGAGGAGCAGCGTTTAAAGTTGGAGAGATTGATGCGAAACCCCGTGAGTTTACCCTTTACCCCAAGTTAGCGGTTTTATTTGGAGTAGTAACTCATGCTAATGATGCTACTGAACTATTGCGGGAGCACTGAACATAGTATTGAGTTTTATATTTTCATTTTAAAGGATAAACCTGCGTCCATTCCAGAGAAACCAAAAGAGTGGAATCCTCGCGCTCCACCAGAGTTTGTGCGGGATGTGATGGGTTTGTGTTTGTTTACGGTTTTAGATTTAAGGATGAAGGTAATATGAATTGCTACCTAGATCTAAATATGTCATCAGTTTTACTTCTTTCAATATGACTTTAAAAAGGAAATTTATATTGTCGGTTTGTTTTTGCTCTTAGAAAAAATAAATAAATAAATATATATATATATATATATATATATATCTCAGACTAAATGGAGTAACTGAAAACCATTTTTTTCTTATTTTCAAACAGCCTTTGTTTATTTAAAATCTGCAAAGTTAAAAAAAAAATCAAAAATCCCTAAGAACATAAGAATGCCTTTAAATTTAAAATGTATTCTTTGCTGTTTTATGTTTTCAAATACACCCATAACACATAAGCAATGCATGAACTTAACACATTGTATTAAACAAGTGTGTTTTCAAAATTCCAAATTTGTGTTTCTAGTGGTTGGTCAAAAATGTATATTAAAGGGGTCCTATTACCATTCAAATTTCTGTAGGCGGGAATTATTTGTGATGAAATTCTAATGGGCCGCTTTGTGACATCACAAAGCCCGGAAAACAAATGCTGTAGTCCTTGTTGTAGTTCTTGAAAAGGGATTTTTAAAAAACTAAATATCTCCCTTTGGAGTGGACTTTGAGATTTGTAACTTTCTAGATCTTTTTTATGTCCAAACATACACACTACACACTGACTAAAATTAAAAAAGTGAAAAAGCATAATAGGACCCCTTTAAATAAAATGTCAAGTAGTCAGATGAGTGGTAACATCATTCACTTTCAGCAGATTGCAGGAATTCATTCAAATTGGTTTCTAACATTTTCAGGATTTTTGCCCTCGCAAATAATCTGCCAGGATTAATTTGTGTTCTATTTCTTTGTTGAATTTGCGCAGGTTCCAGTGCTGGAGCAGGCAGCGGTGAATTCCATGTGTATAGACATCTGCGCCGTCGGGAGTATCAGAGACAAGACTTCCTGGAACGAATTTCTGACAAGGTGGGTTTATTTTTTCCCTAAAGCATATATGATAATCAAATAGGAGCTGCTTTACCATTTATGGATGTTACTAGTTCAATTTACACTAAGAAAAGGTGAAAATATAATGTCCTCAGCATTGTTGCAAAACAGTATATATATGAATGATGGGTAAAGCCTATGTAATGCTTTTTTGGTGATTTGCAGCAGAGTGTTTTTTCTTTCCCAGTCCTCCCTGAGACTTTTTTTAAACTTTAAATTACTGCCACTGAACAGAAATAAATCCAGGTGCTTCAGTGGAATGCGGATCCACCTGTTATTTGTAGCGGCTTAAATAACAGAATTTGGGTGTGAGCAGCGGCGGATCTGCTCAGCTCTCCAGCTCACAGCTGCACAAGACTGACGTTTTACTGTTGCTGTGACAATCATGGAAATCAAGCAAAATTTAATTGAATTTGTCAATGTAATATTCCGGTGGGTTATGCGTTGTTCCCCACTATTGCGTTTCCTTTGGAAATACACTTACATCAAAAATCAACTCCTATACATTTGTCACACCAAGTTCCTCTTTTTTACACGTACTGTTGGAAAGTCAGATTCATTCAAGTGAAATTTGATTGAAATTTTGATTTACACTACCGTTCAAAAGTTTGGTTTTTGTTCAATTTTAAAAGAAGCTTCTTACGCTCAGCAAGGCTGCATTTATTTGATCAACACAGTCAATACAGTAATATTATGAAAAATTATTGCAATATAAACGACTATTTTCTATTTTAATTTGTTTTCAAATTTTGTAAAACCATTACTATAATCTTCAGTGTCTCATTATCTTTTAGAAATCATTCTAATATGCTGATTTGGTGCTCAGGAAACATTTATTATTGTTATTATTATTATTAATGCTGAGACGTTTTTGCTGCTTAATATTTTTTGTGGAAACGGTGATGCATTTTTGCTAGATTCTTAGATGAATGGAAAGTTTAAAAGAGCAGCATTTATTTGAAATAGATATCTTTTGTAACATTATAAATGTCTTTTCTGTCACTTGATAAATGCAATGCATTCTGGCTGAATAATTTAAAACTTGAAATAAACTTGTTTCAGTATAAATTGATTAAAAATAACTTTTGCCGACACTATTTGCATAGAGTATGTTCGGGGTCTTCAACATAGCCTGGGTTGATGGTGGTCCCTCGCCTAAAAAAATCTAAATGTAGTTGGTATTGGTTCACAAATAGTTTCTTTTACTCTTGCAGCAAAAGCTGGATGAAGAATATATTGAGAAGGTGAAAGAAAACCAAAAGGCTGCTGAAGAAAGAACAGCTAAACGCAGAAAGAAGAGGTTTGCAAAATACTGTCTTGTCTGTTTTAGATACTTTAGAATCATTAGAGAACTAATTTAGAAGTTTATTTTGTGTGTTTCGGAATCGCTGTTCTTTTGCGTCGTTTAGGGAAAAGTTGAAACAAAAGAAGCTGATGGCCAAGAAAGCCAAGATGGAGAGCCAGAAAGAAGGAGGTACGAGATAATGAAATTATCTTCGAAATCCACCCCATTCTTCCTTGAACGCCAACTGGAAGACATCTACTAAACATGAGTGTCTGAACACTTAAGTAAACCAATATTTTATAATACTAAAATTATTGTAGTTAATCGAGCTGACTGATTTTTATACATTTGCTCTGTTGTGTCAAAAAAGCTAAATAAATCCTCTGTGATTCAATGTTGTAAAATAAAACATAAAAACATCGGTGAGGGTGAATGTTTATTATGAGCGCTATATTTAAAAGTGCTGTTTATGGATGGCAGCACAGGTCATCATAATCATCATTATAGTAACTGCAGTTCTTGAATTTCAGCATTCATCCAAGCAGTGAGTAATAATGTTTGTTGTGTCAGCAGGCTCAGAGGAGAAGTCATCATCCTCTGCTTCTGAAGAAGAAGAGCAAGAAGATGATGCAGAAGTGCCCAGCTTCATCATGGGGAAGAGGTGACCGAATGAAAGGATGGAAGTATCCAGCATATACTCCCCCGTACAAAACCAGAAACGCCTCCAGCAGGGAACGTTTAGTGATCTGTGCGTAAAAATACTCAAAACCAGTCTGGAATCAATGTTTCAGAAGTGCATTCATCCTTCGTGCTTGAGTCAGCTGTTCAACATTTGAGGTGGACATTGGAAAAGCTGAATGTTTTTCTTTCATTGGAGTGCTGATGATAAAATAATGTGACCAGGATAGACTTTTATTCTGTTGTAAATATGTATTTTGTTTTAATAAACAACAAAGGGAATAATTGTGGCATTTCAGTGTTTCATGGAACATTGTTCTCACTGTCCTTTAACTGCTTCTGCTTTTCCATTATATGAATAAATTATATTTAAAAAGTTAAAATCGAAACGTTGTTTAAAATGGTCATATTTTCTATATTACAATAATCACACAATTGTATTGTTTTTTCTGTATTTTTAATGCAGCCCCCCCGAGTATGTATTATATCACTTCACAGGGTTTCTGCAAGTCTTAAAAGTCTTAATTCACCCTTTCACAATTTAAGGCCTAAAAAAGGTCTTAAATGAGAGCACGAAGTATTTTAAATTCTTAAAGTAATGACATTAAATGTTACACGCATTGAAGAAGAAAAAAAAACTATATTGTAGTTTTGTCTTTCAGTACAAATATCTAAACAACCTTAAAATCAGGATACTTTACGCGAAATACAAATATAATATGAAGTCTGTGTGTAATGTAAATTTAACAATTAAATAACAATTAAAGTGAGTTCATGCTTAACCAGAACAAAAATCGGCCGATGGCAGATATTTGTTACTGTTTTAATCATAAGCTTCATTTTGGTCAGTTTCACGTTTTGCTTCTAAATGTCTGAGAACATGTCATTTTTTTTAAGCCTGAAACTAAAATATTGCTCTTTTTAATCATTAATCATGCACACCATTTATCTGGCCTCATATTAATGGAGACACATAATCGATATAGCTTTTGAGAAAAAAAAATCATTTGTACACACAGGACCTTTTAAAATGGCAATAATAATAATTTTTAAAAAAAATACACAATGGTTCATTTGAGAATTTTGACCCAATTATCTCTAATTGGCAAAAATCACCTAAATGCAAAATAATCTCTGCATATAAAAAATGTAATTACTGAGAGTGGTGTAATTGTTTGTTAGTCAATAATGGACCCTGTTGTCATGAGTACCACATTCCTTTGAAGCACATGTGAAAAAAAACCCCAGCATAATTCTCTCCACCCTGTATTACCACTTGGCAAATACGGTTAATAGCTCTAGTTCATAGTCTGATTCACCACAATGGGATTCTGGATATTGTTGTTTTACTACTACGTCATTATTTCAACTCGCCCGTCCAGTCTTTGCAAATAATATGAATTCTGAATTTTACATGTTCACACAGAGAGTACAGAGAAAATGTCAGTAACTTATACCTATAAACAGCGGTTCATTTGCTTCATGTCTAAGCAGGTCTGGTTAAGCTGGTTTAACCAACAAACACAATTTTGATTATTTGATCACAAACACTTCTGGCATTTGCCGGAGCTGCAAAACATACAGCCTAGTTTGTCCTAGAAAACCAATATAATGGGGTCGATTTTGATGCATATTACATTATCAATTACTATGTAACACTTCCCTCAAGAAACTAGGAATCGAGTATTATTGATATATTGTATGAATAAAGTCCACACCTCTGTTTTTGATGTCATGTCAACTCAAGTCATGTGCCTGTTTGGTGGGAATTAAGTCACCAGTATGTGGAGGGTTTGTTGACTTTAACATTAGTCATTCAAACAGACGTTTGCTTTATTTTCCATTTTAAGTGTCAGATAGTTTGATCACATGTTGCGACTTTGGCCACCTTGACATTGTACTTGTGGCATGGGCAATGAAAACGTGTTCTGTGCTATAGGATTAAAGCAAAAAGTGTTTTCACATGATTCAAGCGTTTTTCACAGCTTACAAAGTAGCAACAGTCAGTCTATGGAATTTCAAAGCATTTTTTATGTCCAAAGCACCTCCCAGTTTCTACCTGGGATTCACACACCCTCATGAAAAACTCTCTCCCCTCCCTTCAGCTTCTTTTTATAGGAGTTGATTAGTATCTGCCAGGCATATTACTGAGCATAGACACCAGCCAGGTTGACTTCTACTCCAGAATCTATCTGCATCCTTGTTACAAGATGAAGACAAACACAGTGATCCGTTTGATGTCATTGATGTCTATCTGGATGTGGACCGGAGAAGGCAAGTGCATTTTAGCCTTAATTATCAATGTTTGTTTGTTCTTTTTAGATGGGGGTTACTATAGAGACCTGGTTTCTGCGTTATATCACAAATGCACTTTTAATTACATTGTGAGTGAGGCTTTCTCAGGCAATAGCTCATTAAAGACAGAGTAAAGTGTACACAAATGTCTCATTCAATTTTCATCATGTTGGATTAGATGTTGGATGTCGAACAAAGATGATTACAGATTAACAAGCTAAAAATCTTCCTTACGTTCAGCAAAAATACCCTGGCGACTATTATGAACAAATGAGTAAGATAATTCATGAAATCTTATTGAAGGATTGTACTAATGGCCCACTGATGCTAATGTCTAGCATGTCCATTCATTATGTAAATTTTCAAGATATATATATATATATATATATATATAGAAAATTTACATAATGAATGGACATGCTAGACATTAGCTTCAGTATATATAGTAAAGGTCACTGCTAAAACAAAAATATATATAAAATATTGGTATCAAATAATAAATATACAATGCTATGATGATACATGGGGACATATAAATTGGCTAATATTCCTATATATATAATTTTTTAAAATCTCATTTCATTTGTGGTCCAGGGTCACATATACATACATATATATGCAGAATCTGTTAATAATTTATACAAAGTAAGAGGGATCATAAAAATCTTCCATGTATAATGACACCTCATTAAGAATCAAACATATTTAAACTTTTGAATGGGGTCACTTTTTAAGCTATTATTTCATCCTGTGTACTATATTTGTTATAAATAGGTGAAATAGCTCACTGAGTCATTAATTAATATGTCACAGGATGCCACACTCATCACACATTTTTTTTTTTTAAATGACCTACTACCGAGATACAGAATACAGATACAATGACGCCTTTCGTATGTCATGTTCATACTAGTTGTAAAAACAGAATCTATATTGAGACTCGAGGGAAACACACACTAGTAGGCAAGACTCAGCCTGTATGTTCTGTTTCGTGGCCAGTTTTCCATCAATACACCTGTAGCACTGCAGTTACAGCATTTAGGGTTGGTAGGTGTTACACAATCCTTTTTGCCCTAGGACAGGTGCATGTGAATCAGACTGAACCTGCTATTATTCTGTGACAGACTTAAATGGGGATCAAGTTGGAACAATGAGGTCACTTTAAAAATGGCTCTTCAAAGTCTTTTTCTCTGTCTACAGGTCAGATATTCCAGCCTGAGCTTGCATCTAATGCTTTCCTAGCCAAGGTCACCAGTAATACAGTGATATTGAAGCAGCCGTATTGTGTATTTAATCAGCCGTGCCCTGGCTGTGAGATATGGCTGGTGGCTGGGCTGTGCTCAGGTAAAACGTCTTTAGAAATTGTAATAATATTTCACAATATTGCTGTTTTATGTATTTGATCAAATAAATGCAGCCATATTGAGCATAAGAGGCTAAAGAAAAGATCTAATGCAAACTCTCCCATCTGTTTGCATTATCAATCCTCTTTCACTTTTAGCAAACGGCACCTTTGATGCTCTAGTACACAGCTCAACTACCAACATCCTCAGCTTGTCACCCTACCCAACAGCATTCAACCCATCATCAAGCAACTTCTTTCTGACCAGAGTTGGACTTCTGTCAGACTTCCCCTGTAATCAGTACCCCAATGATCGCTACTTCGTAGTCGGCGCTGATGGGATTTGTAGTGGCGTCAACTGTAATGGAGTATTACCTGATGGATCCATCGTTTGGTAGGACCTTTTAATGTATTGTGCAACATGAATGGAAGAAATTATTTAAGACAAAGTTCCAAATCTGCCATTCTAAAAACCCATAGGACATTTGTGTTGACTCTGAAATGCCTTTTTAAGATAACAAAAGCAAACAGAACTCTCATTTTGATGCCATGTGGTCATTCGATAGCTATACATTTAGCTGAACTACAGTGCATAGCGATGGCAAAACACAATGAACAATTGCCTAAAATGTCCAGCCCCATTAGTTACATTTTAGAGAAATTTTGCAAGCAAAAATAAAATCCGAGAGCATTCTAACCCTGCATAGACAGCAACGCAACTGACACGTTCGATTTAGAAGTGGGTATACGCAAAGCCGACTGATGAAGAAGTGGGTATACGCCACTACACCACTGGTTCAAGACCCAGAAAGGTAGTAAGGACATCGTTAAAATAGTCCACGTGACATCAGTGGTTCAACCCTAATTTTATGAAGCTACGGGAATACTTCTTGTGCGCAAAGAAAACAAAAATAATGACCTTAATTAACAATTTCTTAACTTCCGTGTCAGTCTTCGCCGCACGTTCACAAGAGTACCACAACGCATGCGTCGTTATTTTTGTTTTGTTTTGCAAAATGTTACGGTTGAACCACTGATGTCACATGGACTATTTTAATGATGTCCTTACCTTTCTGGGCCTTGAACGTGTCTGTTCCATTGTTGTCTATACAGCAGGATCAGAAAGCTCTCAGATTTAATCAAAAATATCTCAATTTGTGTTCCGAAGATGAACGAAGGTCTTACAGGTTTGGAACGACATGAGGGTGAGTAATTAATGACAGAATTTTCATTTTTGGTTGAACTAACCGTTTAACGGTCACACAGAAATCCCTTTCAAACCAAACAGTTTTCTGTTGACATGATGTGAATTTGCAAGACAAACTTGAACCCAAACTAAAACTGAGGAAATATTTTGCCCTCATGCAAAACTGACCACACCTTTAAAAATCCAAACCATTTTAGTGAATAATATGTTAATAATGTGTTAATATGTTGATAAATTGATCAACTATTTATTTGAGCAATATCACACGAACAAGAAAGCCATTGCTAAATATCAGCATGTCTGTGATGATATTCAGGTCCACAAGTGCACAATTGCAAATATAAGATTTATTTTACACAACAGCTAAATAAACAAGAAATTTATTAGATACACAATATTGACATTTACTTTGTTTTTTCTCTTCAACAAAAAATAGTTGAAAGCTCAGTCAACATTTGCACATTTCTGAGCAACACACAGCAGTTCTATTCATTCCTGAATTAATCAGTACATTTGAACCAATCGGAATCACTGAATCATTCACTCATAAAAACAAACACTTGTCGCCACCTACTGGTGTAACAATGTAACCTGCAGAAAGAGTTACTGAAAATCCCCACATCTAATGCGCAGACTTACAATATTTATTTATTTACAAGAATGCTGGTATTCTTCTCTAATGGTGTCCTTAAAGGAGATTGTTATCTGAATCATTGGATAGTTTTATGTTTTAAAAGATTTTTTAAATCACTTTACATTGAAGGTGTCTTGACTGCAGTTTCAAAGTAGCTTCTTAAACACTAGATTTGAGTTTGCTTTTAATGTATTGAAACTATTTTTCACTTACAGTTTCAAGTATCTTCTAATCGATGCTAATGGGGCTCTTGTTAATTCCTCAAACTGGTCTGGCAACATTACTCTTCCCAAACGTAAGAATTCATATAAAATCCTTTGAATTATTGCTAAATAATATTGGAGTCATCCTAATAGCGGTTGGAGTTAATAGCTATCTTAATAATCTATTCATACAGTACTACCCCTTCACACTATTTATGATGGTCTGAGTGCGAGATCTGGTGCCATGGTTGTAATTACTACCATCCTATGTGTGGCTGCGGCTCTGCTTTTACTTCTTTTCCTCATCATGTTATGTGTTACCTGGTGAGTAAATTACACTTAAATCACACTTGTGTACATATATGATATATTATCATATATTATTTCTTAATTGTCCAAATGTAATTCGTTTTTCTAACACATGACTGAATCTTGTCCATCCAGCTGTAGGCCTACCAAGAAAGACGGTAAGCAAATCTCAGTCATGAACTCAATCCGTATCCCCCGCTACGACACCCACAACCTAAAGGATAGTGTGCATCCCTACGACAACCCTGCTTACCAGTCGGACTTGAAAAATTACTCCACATCATCCACTCTGCCCAAGGATGGCGCACGAAAGCTGTGAGCTCCCAAAGACACCATCACTGCACTGCATATTCCAGGGGAAAGCAAACTACTACAGTATTTTCTCTTTCATTGTTAGTTACAAGGCACAATAGAGGACAGGAAGTAAACTTGAAATTAACCCATCAACTCTATGACACATCTTGTATATGTTACATTGCTGTTTTGCCTCAGAAATGTTTCCTGTGTAGTATCAAACCAGAATGGTATAAAAGCTTCTTTTTAGTCATCATCTTCCAGCTTTTTGTAAACTCTTGTGACCTCAGTGTTGTTTGCGATCAAAGGAACAGGTGGAACAGAACTGCACTACACTGACTACAACATGCAAATTCACTAGATGGCGCTGTTTAGTAGGAAATATGCGGTAGAGTTACAGTCATACTGTAGTATTTACTAGTGCAGTGTTTTCTAACCTTTATTGTCTTAGGGGGGTCATATAGGTCTAAATAACCCTTTATCAACAAACCAGGTGAATTTGTTTCTTTTAACTCATATTATACTGGATATCTTTTATTATTAATATTCTTAAAACTTTATTTTTTTCTTTCTTTTTCATGTTTAATCATGATTAGTCATCATTCTCTTAGTTAGTGGTTTTATGAGTCGTTTTAATCTTTGCTGGCTGTGTATGTGCTATATGTATACACAATCATTTAGGTTAAAATGTTATGAAGTTTAAGTTTCAGCTTTAGGTTAAAATGTTATGAATTTACTTATATTACAGGGTTTTTTTTAATGATTGTTAATCACGTTCTATGCAGAAATCTTGCTTAAACAGTTTTGGAGTACAGTCAAAAGTACAGCCGTTCCATGTAGTTTCTGGAAAATAAAAACTGCATGTTTAATAATAAGCCTATACAGTCAACTTCTAAGGAAGCATCCTAACTGTAATACATCCTCATAAGCGAGTAAAGTTTAATGATACTCTAACAAGCAAATATTGGGTAACTCATTTTAATTACTCTTTTTGTTCATACTACTCAGTATTGAATGAAGTAAAAGTTTATTTATAATGCTGCCTTAAATTTAAACCTTATTTTTTAGGCTTAATTAAGCTCTTGGAACAGTTGTAACATTGGGAGTGAAGCCTTCAAATTCTACCTTTGGAAACCTTTGTATTAAAATATAAAATCTGATTATTATTAGCGTATTTTGGACATAATCCACTTTTAACTGCTTATGCCCCATTGATGGTCAGATTTATTCTTGGGCTTCATGCTTACGTTTCCGTACAAATTGCAAAGTACAAATTCATATGAAATCGCCACCCCATAATACATTTTATCATGACTTTTTACATCACTTGCTCACCAATGGATCCTCTGCAGTGAATGGGTGCCGTCAGAATGAGTCCAAACAGCTGACAAAAATATCGTGTTTGTAATCATGTTTCTCTCCTGATTCAGACTAGATGACTGTTCACTGCACAAAGCAATATTGAGAGGATTTATATTTTAGCCAGAAGTTACATTTAAAGTTAAAACATGATGAATATATTACAAACATGCAGCTTTTCGCTGTACAAAACCTTAGCTGATGGCCTGGAGTCATCTGGATTACTTGTGGATTATTGTGATGTTTTTATCAGCTGTTTAGACTCTTATTCTGACGGCACCCATTCACTGCAGAGGATCCACTGATGAGCAAGTGCTACATTTGCTAAACGATGATAATAATAATGATAATTATAATTCTAAATTTCTCCAAATCTGTTCTGATAAAGAAACAAACTTATCTACATCTTGGATGGCCTAAGGGTCAGTATATTTTCAGCAAATTCTCATTTTTTGGTGAACTATTCCTTTAACATTAACTAACATAACACATAGCCTATTAACTAATGTTATAATGATTAATAAATACTGTAACAAATATATTGCTCATTTAATGTTTGTAATTGTTAATTAATGGGAGCTTATTGTAAAGTGTTACTTGAAATAATATGCAAAAACATGGGATATCCTCATATTCCAAATGAAAGCCCCTGCTGTTAATAAATACTGTAACAAATATATTGCTCATTTAATGTTTGTAATTGTTAATTAATGGGAGCTTATTGTAAAGTGTTACTTGAAATAATATGCAAAAACATGGGATATCCTCATATTCCAAATGAAAGCCCCTGCTGAACGGCTCACATTCACACACACACACACACACTTTATATCTAAAAACAGGGCTGCGCCGGGTAACTCTTTGATAGACTGGTGAGTCACAAGAAGCCCACACAGCGTATCCCCTCCTCTGGTCACAGCTCTAAAGGTGCGTCTGTATTTCTGGATCAATGAGTCAGCCGTGCCCACACTCACATGCATGAATTACGTGGCCTCTGGTTCGCCTTTATTTTGTAAAAACATATAATTTTAAGGAAAACTTCACTGGAGCCTATACAACATTCTCCAACATTTTACCATGTTTGAGAATGGTTTTGAATCAAGACTCCTATTGTGTGAACTTCCCTTTCATTTTGGTCTGTTTATTTATCTCCGTCTGGAAGGAAACTATGTTGTGATTCGTCAGTGAATCACCTTCCTTTTTCCATGATAAAGGAACACTTCCTGATCTTCCACCTGCTCATGTTGACAGCACTTGTGCATATCAGAATATGTGAGTGCTGACATTATGTGCGGGTCTATGCTTTGATTTCCTCCAAAGACCATAATCAAGGAATCGTTCAGTTTTCCACCTTGTTTATTCAGCTGCATGCATTTAGTGAGGCTGTCAGCCTTCAAAACCAGCTAGAAAGATATTTTCTTTCAGTTTTGCTAGTATTTTTGTTCTTATGTGAGTCATTTCAGTTAAAGTGAAGTGTCTTTCCATTATGATGGTAGACTGGGGTTATTTGGTCAGATCATGAGCTTATCAGTCAAAAATAACTCGTGTTGAGGCATAATACCGCTGTGAAAAAGGAAGCACACATATTACACTTACAGCTCTCTTATGTTCTGAATCACTATTTTGAACGCAACATTTTCTCTACTGCTTTTTTTTTTTTTAACACTAAATGATATGTATACTGAATCATTAGAAAAAAGCACTTTAGCATTTCACTGAGGCTTGTGCCACAGTAAAAAAGGGGTCTAGCAATGCTTCTATAAAGATTTTAATTAAAGAAATAAGAGAGAAGTAGAGATAGCTGCCCTCAAATAAACTCTTAAAAATAAAGGTTCAAAAAGGGGGTTTTCATAGTGAAGCCATAAAAGAACCAGTTTGGGTTCCCTAAAGAGTAAAGAACCTTTTCAGTGAACAGTTCTTAAAATAACCTTTTTTTTTTAATTCATATAGTCTGAAAAACATTGTAATAATCTAAAGAACGCTTTTCCACTAGAAACGAAACCTAGTAACGGAACGGTTCCATGGATGTCCAAAATGTGTCTTTCCTATGTTGGTTTCAAACATCTATTTCAAAACCCTCTTAAATTAGGGCATTTTTTCTTCTGAATTATGCCCTCCAATATCATCATATCTTTGGCTAACCAAGTGAACACAATAAAACCACACTGACATACATTCAGACCATTGTCAGCTAGCCTAGCCTATATAATGAAGGTACTAGATTTTAACTCAAAAGATGAACTGTAAATGTCAACTCAGGGCAGGTTGTCACATTTTTATTAGGGCAGTTGTCAGATACACTCGCAACCTTTAATATTTTAATCGTTTTGTGTTTTATAGTTATTTTACTGTTTACATTTAGCTGAAAATACTGTAATAGGCTGGTTCCTTTGTTACCTCATAGTCGTATGTGAGAACGTGCGTTCAATAAACTCTCTTTTAGACAATAATAACGCTGGAAATGTTCAACTGGTTTCTGTAGCCAGCCGTTCAAGATACAATCGAAACAAAAATTGACTTTCAAAAATGAACCAATGCTGAGAAATATTTACTGGAGTAAAGAGTGTGACCTAGTGTTTACTATCCAGTAGTCTATGAACACCATTGTTTGCTTATCTCAGTTATGTTAGCTCTAGTTAATCTCGAGGGTTAAGACATTACTCCTTTTCCCCTCACACTGTAGAATTCATTTCACTCGTCGCGTCGCGCCACACCTCGTCTCCACTTGACGCGACGCAACAAAAGTAGCTACAACATTCAACAAAGCCGCCTATACAGTCGCGTACTTGTCTTGTAGTTTATAACCAGTAGTGTTGATTCGAAAGAGAGCGTTGTAGTTTTGTCGCGTCGCGTCTGTTTAATACCTTCTCTCTTCAAGTGTGATCCAGTCAGTCACTCCTCCTACAAACAACCCACAGAGATCAAACCCACCCGTGTCTAACGCGTGGATTGTGTAGACGACCGCTGGACCGACCGGCGGTGCTGCTTCTCAGTACAGCGTTATGCATGACTAGCTTTATTGATAGAACAGTTGATTTGCCATTTGTGCAATGCTTATAAACATGCGTGTTATTGAAGGAATAAGAAGTGTCGGCGCGTGATATATTTTCTGAATGACAGCATGGCTAAACGAAGCACACTATTCATCAGTATTGTGGAAGGAAAGAACCTGCCAATCAAGGACATGTAAGTGCTGATGACTTTATGGGATAATTATAAGATGAATTGCACAGAAATATGTTGGAAGACATGTTCAGTATACACGATGATAAAGAAACTGAAAGCAGTATGGGATTTGACAGAAATATCATATATATTAGCTACATATAGTACCAGTTAAAAAAAGAAAGAAAGAAAAATTATAATCATGCTACTTTTTGTTTTTTTTAAACAATGGATTACAGGATAAAACAAATACTGTTTATGAATTGATAAAAAAAAAAAAAACCGTTCTGGCATTTTAATCGTAAACATGAACAAATAGCCTATATGTCCATATCTGTATGTGAAACACAAATAAATGAAAGTGCATCTACAAGTGATACACATATTATTATTATATTACAAGCATTATCATATAAATATGAAGTTATATAAATATTTCTAAACGGATGTTTCAGTTATTTTTTTAGAGACGATGAAAATCATAGCCTATATGTGCGGAACAGTTGATGAACTGACGAATGTAAGTTAAAAAGCTGTTTTATTGTGTAATTTGTTCACTTTTGGCACAGATGAGAAATACATAACAGAATAAATATAATGCATTTCTCTTAATCATCAGATATTATTCATCAGTATATCAATCATACCATCAGCTTCAGTCAATTATATTCAGATATTTTACACTTTATTTTTATTTAAAGCTCATGCCAAAACACTGCATAAACACCCTTTTCAAACCCTTAATGAGCATTATAAATGAAATAAGCTTGTTAATTGGTTCCATGTTTGGAATTGGCAGCATTCCATTGTGAATAACACAAATTCATTTGTGGAAAGGACAGCTCTCCCACATTCTGTGAGGAAATGACTTTATTGGTTAGTAAGGTCATCCATATTAACATTTCAGCACTGTGGTCATGCCAATGTGAGGAAAATGTGATTCGCTGCCCTTCTCTTCCTGAGTTACTGATTCCACTTCCTTGTATGATTAGATTAAATAACTAGTCACTTATCAAATTTGCTGCACTGTTTAGTTGGTGGGCCGAACTGCAGGAGCAGATGTTGCATGGAGTGTTTGCATTTACACTGTGGTGACACTGCCAAAAGTGCACAATGGCAGATTGTACACATTCTCTACAAACATGCTTTATTTACACAGGACCTGGGTGAGCTTTAGTAAAGAGTACGCACCTTTTTGGATTTCACTGGATTTCTTTAAATGATTGCAAGGTTCTGGAAAGATTAGCTTGCATATTCTGAACTGTTTAGGTGAGCTAATTATAATCAAGCAGGTGGTGAGCAATCAGCACCCAGGCACAGGAAATATGAGCACTTGTTTTCTGAGATAAATGTTCCTTGATTGGGACATTTACAAGATCATAAGTAGAGATACCATCAGATAGGCCTACTAGATATTGTTGTCAGTCATCATCATTTTTTGTTTGTATTTTTTGTAATTATATATCAACTTGGATATAAAATAACAACAACAATAATAATTTATGCATTATTATTATTATATGTGATCCTGGACCACAAAACTTCTTAAGTTGCACAGAGATATTTGTAGCAATAGCCAACAATACATTGTATGGGTCAAAATTATACATTTTTCTTTTATGCCAAAAATCATTAGGATAGTAAAGATCATGTTCCATGAAGATATTTTGTAAATTTCCTACAGAAAATATATCAAAACTTCAGTTTCGATTAGTAATATGCATTGCTAAGAACTTCATTTGGACAACTTTAAAGGCGATTTTCTCAGTATTTAGATTTTTTTGCACCCTCAGATTCCAGATTTTCAAATAGTTGTTTCTCAGCCAAATTTGGCCCTATCCTAACAAACCATACATCAATGGAAAGCTTATTTATTCAGCTTTCGGATGATGTATAAATCTCAATTTCGAAAAATTGACACTTAAGACTGGTTTTGTGGTCCAGGGTCACATATTATATTATTATATTTTATTACACGGCTCTGTGGAATACTCGATTCTGATTGGTCAGTCACCACATTCCGAGGTGTTATTCCCTGATAACAACCGGTAAAAACTAATATAACACATGCTCATCCGGGTAACTGCAACTGCAGGTAAATGCTATTCGCTTGCTGGGAAACATTTTTCTTCATGGAAGCTTTGCGTTTGGTTGGCTAATAAAATATTAAAACTCAAATAAATATTCTCTGTACAAATATTTAATTATGTCATCCTGGTTTCATCTTACATCAATATCTTTTATAGTCATAATTATTTATGTGGTGAAATGCCGTGCAATAAGTAGTATGACTGTACCATAGCTCTTAATGTCCGTAGTTTGAACTTGCCACTTGTTAGCAACTGCTTTCTTCACTGAAGCTTTGCGTTCAAATATTTCAACTCAAATCAATATTTCATGTCTAATTATTTAGTTTTGTGGCAAGTAGCCGTGTAATAAGTGGGATAATGTACATCCAGCTGGTTGTTATCGCAAAATAAAGCCCTTCAGGCTTATACAACTGATAAACCTGTCTGGCTTTATTCTGCTATAACAACCGACTGGTGTATTACATAATACTTTTTTTTAAATTCTATTATTTATTTTACTAAATGAAATTATTAAACAAAATGTTTACTGTAAAATAAAAATCTGAGTATTAGAACACATTATTTTCCACATACCGCGGCCTTGAGTGAGCAGAGGCCGGAGGCCTAGAGTGAGCCGCGGTCTAGAGTGAGCGGAGGCCGGCTTGAGTGAGCAGCGGCGGCCTAGAGTGGAGCAGAGGCCAGGGATCTTATCTATGCACAATCAGCTTGTAACACTCCAAAGAGAAAGGAAAAATTGAAATCGCATCATATGACCCCTTTAATAATGCCTTCTATAAATGCTTCAAGTAAAGTGTTACAAAAATTTCCTTATTACATAGTTTATGTTTGAGTCAGGTGGCATTTTTATCATAAAGTCAAGAAGTATCAACCTGTTACTTAAAGTCATATTGAAATGAACATAGCGACAGATCTTTTCTTATGTATTGTGATGTGCATCCGAGTTTAACAGATTTTAGAAAAAAGAAAAAAAAATGGGGACTTGTTTCTCTCCATGTTGTTGAAAAATGAATTTGAACTTGCGGTCGATTGTGAAGGGCCGGGTTTAAGTCAAGTCAAGTCACCTTTATTTATGTAGCGCTTTTAACAATACAGATTGTATCAAAGCAACTTTACAGTATTAATTAGGAAAATAGTGTGTCAATAATGCAAAATGACAATAGTAATCACTCAATTTTCAGTTAAAGGCAGTTCATCATTGAATTCAGTGATGTCATCATCCAGCTCAGTTCAGTTTAAATAGTATCTGTGCAATCAAGTCGACAATATCGCTGGATATTAAGTGTCCCCAACTAAGCAAGCCAGAGGCGACAGCGGCAAGGAACCAAAACTCCATCGGTGACAGAATGGAGAAAAAACCTTGGGAGAAACCAGGCTCAGTCAGGGGGCCAGTTCTCCTTTGGCCAGACGAAAACCAGCAGTTCAAATCCAGGCTGCAGCAAAGTCACATTGTGCAGAGTACTCACCTGGCAGTTGAGTCATCTGGCATCTTAAGTGAACTAAATGATTAGAGGAGTTTGACATATGTCTGTCGTTTCCACTGGAAGGCTGAGTTTTGATGACATTTTAAATAAAAATTGCATGGTCAAAGATTCATTTACAAAATAGAGTGTATTTTCATTTCATGCTGACTTTAAATTTCAAGTATGTGTTTAACTAATGAAATGACTCTGGGGTCTCAAAGTCCCCAAACAAGACATCATGGCTACAGAAGATAAGAGAAGCAGAGCGAATGAGAAAGGAATCTCTCCTCTTCCTTCTTTTGTCATCATCTCTATCCTGCTCTTGCAGGTGGCATGAGGATGATAGTATGTGGTTCAACTGCCAAGCTACAGTGCTGTTTGATGTAGCACCTGATTCTGACAGCCACAGGTTTCCCCATTACACTGATAACAACAGGCGAAGATGAATCACCACATGATGCACTCATTCTCCTCTCCCTCAGCACACACACACACACACACACACACGCTAGCACACAAATACTCATACAGCTCACCAAAGTTGCCAAGGGCAGTCATTACCTCAACAGAGGAATTTCAATATCCTCACAGTGACAACAGACATCTCTACACATGCTCTCTGTCAATTCACGGCTCATCTGAGACAGCATGCAATGAACAAATGCTCACCTACCAGACAGTGGGATGTCGAAATGAAAATAGGAGTCATTTTTTAAAAATTGGAAATGCCCACTATATAGATGCAAAAAGGTATTATTCATGTGACAAAGAAGAGGACGTCATGATTTTATATCTGAAATTTAAAGCTGAGGAGTGTATAGTTCCTAGGAATCTATGTGTTAGCATTTGCCATTCATCCCAGTGGAATTTGCTTAATTGGTTTGTACAGGATGAAGTCAAAAAACGATCTGCAAGTAGTTTAGCATAATGTTTAATTAAATATACCCTTTTCACATTTCAGGGTTTCTCAGAAGAGTAAGTCATCATAGTTGGGCAAAGTTCTACAGCTGTGAATGGGAGACTACATCAAATATATTTTTGCATTCCTATTTACTCAAATAGCAAAGAAAAACTCAGTGTTTTAATGAATTTCAAAAAGAGGAAAAATAGAGAGAGACTGATAATGTTAGTCAGAAGAGAGAACAATATCAAATTTACTGTCGCTACAATAGCTGCTGAATTGAAACTTCCTCACAGCAGCATTTTTTTTTTTTTTTTTGTAATTTGATGCAAAGGTAATATAATACAAAGAGTAGTTATAAAAAAAAGGTGATGCAGATGATCATTGAATCACATCACAGTCTGCGAAAAGGGTCCATGAAGTAGTTTTGGTGAAATATTATTTTATTTTTTATGCCAAATCAAAGTCATGTTGTGTGAGCAACAAAGTAATGGGAAGAGAACAATGTGCAAAAACAAACAAACAAAACAAAACAAAACAAAAACAGGAAAAACATAAAAAAGGAAATTATTATAATAGAGAGGACCCTTGAAGTCCTCCTAATTATGTGTCAATATCAATAATTCTCTTAAAATATGACATAATTTGACCTTTTTATGACAAGGTTAGTTCAGTTTGTAAAATGTCATGTGCAGCAGCTCTCCATAAGCTTAATGATTTATGAATGACTAATTCATGATATTTTTAAAAGGAAAAAAAACTAATAACCAACATGATATTATAATAACTATAATAAAAAACTATAATAACCAACACCCCATTAATGACTTTCCTCTGGAATCTCATTAATATCATGGTTGGATTGATAACGATTCTGTGAAATAAAATATTGCTAAGTTATTTCATATAGGTTTCCTTAAAAGCTCCAAAAAGGAAGATTCTTTGTGGGACTTGAAAAGGTTCTTCTATTGAATGAGGCTATAAAATCTTTTTTTAGTTATAATTAAAACATTACTTTTGAAGTGTATGATAAGAAGACAAAAATATTTTTCATTTAACCTTGTAAACCATAAAAGTATATTATCTTTCTATATTTAAATATGAGAGCAACAGCATCATAATTAGCATGTAATTAATTCTTGATTGTATAAACCAATCATGTGTGATCATGAGATTAATAACTATTGCCAGTATGCAATAACATTATTGTTCATTTCACTTGCAGAACTGGAAGCAGTGATCCATACTGCATCGTGAAAATTGATAATGAGGCAATAATTCGGTAGGTATGCAATAATCTGCCTAACATTATTGTTCATATTCACTTGCAGAACTGGAAGCAGTGATCCATACTGCATCGTGAAAATTGATAATGAGGCAATAATTCGGTAGGTATGCAATAATCTGCCTAACATTATTGTTCATATTCACTTGCAGAACTGGAAGCAGTGATCCATACTGCATCGTGAAAATTGATAATGAGGCAATAATTCGGTAGGTATGATCCCCCCCCACCCCCAGTCTTTGGGGAGCTAATATTGGTCCACGTTGCTATACAGCATATAATAAGTCAATTATCACAAACTGAACAGGTTAGAAATGAAATTTTCTGTGAAGCAGAGCTAATTTAATTTGTGCCACATAATTGAAATCTCTGCTGTTCCATAGATTGCTGTGTGGTTGTACCAGAGCTTGTGTTCCTCCACATTTGGCAGCTATATAAAGGTCACACTAAACAAACCTACGATTTGAGGAGTCTGAGGTGGAGGTTCAAAAAGCAAAATATATATGCTGTGACCGTAAGTACAGTGTGGGCATTGGAATTAAGAGTAGGAGGTAGAAGGTAGAAGAAATGAAAATCCCTGCTAGGAACAACTAGCACAATGAGAGCAGTGAGCATTTTGATCTGATCTTATTAAGTTTATTACATTGTTTTATTTGTTATTCACTCCACCATCTCTTTTGTGACTCACTTTATTCCGAGTGCCTATAAAAATAACTTATTTTCCAGCTGAACTGAAAGGTTTAACAATCACTCTATTGATATCAACAGTGAATGAATGATACTGAGTGTGAGTGTTTTCTGAGCCACAGTGATTTTTTTGGGTTGACATTCTTTCCCTGGAATACCAAATCTGAAGGTAAATAAGTGTTATGTATGGATTGTAGTCTGATGTTTGTTTCCACAGGATCCTTACCGCGGTAAATAAGCCTTGTGAGTCTGTTGCCGCAAGAGTGAAAATGCGATATGCTGTGTTTACGAAACATAGTTGCCTTAAGAGATGAACAAAATCCTAATCTTTTCTGATCAGATATTGACATTTCTATGCGAACCACCTGTCTGCCTATCACTGTGGTTAAAATAAAACTGCTGTCTGGTTTTGTTATTGTTTAAATAGAAATCATCATCATTATACAGATTCTCCAGACATTCTTTATTCATTTAGACTAGAGATATGTATGATGTATCCTAGTAAGATCAGTGTTGTTTTAGTATTATTTATAGTATTTCATATTTTAAATTGTAATATTTACAGTTAGCTTTCATTTTTAGATTTATATTTTAATTTAAACTGTAGTGATTTTGCCATGTGCTTTTGCTTTTTTTTTATATGTATATTTCTATTTAGCTTTTTAACTTTTATTTTTCAGTTTTAGTAATTTTAGTATTTTTTTTAAATTTCATTTAGTTGCCAATGCATTTCTTACTTTCATTTTAGTTTTTTTAATTTAAGCTTTTATCTAATAATTATATTTTATGTTTTTTTAAGCTTCATTTCAGTTAAAAAAGTTTTTTTAATTGTTTAGTTTTAGTTTCTTTTTTTAGTTGTTCTTAAAAAAAAAAACAATTTTGATGTCCAATATTTCAGAGGATGGCATTTTTCATTTATAGACACAGGATGATTTTTTAACTTTTCCCACATTGTGTGCAGAGTAATCATTTTGTTTTGTTTTGTTCATTCATCTTTTAGGACAGCAACAATATGGAAGACATTGTCTCCGTTTTGGGGTGAAGAATACACCGTCCATCTTCCTCCCTACTTTCGTACGGTGTCTTTTTATGTCCTGGATGAGGACTCTCTCAGGTCTGAACCTACACTAATCTATGTACTACTTACTTAAGTGTGATATTTTTCTGTAAAAATACTGTTTTCTGAAAACACACACTTTTTTAACTACTGATACAATTAAGGTTATTAAATTTAACAGCAGTGTAACTGTGATTCAAATAATGCTTAGTACTTATGTTTGCTTGATGGATACCTGCTGTCTGAAAAACTGTTCTGTTCACAGCCGAGATGATGTCATTGGGAAGGTGTCAATCAGTAAGGAGCTTCTCACTGCTAAACCTCAAGGTAAGAGAGGGTATTTCCTAGAGAGTATTTATTTACACAATTTATTCACTCACTGTGGTGAAATGGGAAATCAATATCCAGAGCCAACAAGGCATTTCTCAGTGTCAACAAGATTGAGACTGCAAGACGAGTGTTGCAAGAAAGCTGTGACAAATAATCAAGTCAGACCCGTAGTCATATGGTCATAAAAGTGGACTTTAAACTAAAAGCCATTTGACTGTCATGTGACTGTGATAAACCACAGACTTCCTCAAGTCATATTTAGTTAATATTGCCACATCTATTCATAATACTACACTCTAAAAAAATGGTTAAAAAGTTAATGGGTTAATGGGGTTGTTTTGAACAACCCGCTGGGTCAAAACAACCCAATAGCTGGGTTTGTCCCGTTTTAACCCAGCGCTGGGTTATATTTAACCCAGCATTTTTTAGAGTGTAAATTTAGGCATTAGATTAACCCCCAACTCTGAGTAGTCAAGACATGTATGCGCGGTTGACATGGAAGAGTTGAAAAATGCCAGAGATTTACATTAAAAGACAAACAACCATCAAACAACATTGGCTTCCTAAATAATCCCAGAAAGCACAGCCAAAATCAGTGATTACCATTTGTCTTCTATTCACTTATCAGCAATGCAGATGATGTGCAAATGTGAAAATGTATATAAATAAAGCTTTATTTTTTTATTTTGTTTTGCTTTTGTAATTATCTTCCATTCCTAATGTGCATTAAAGCAGCACTATGTAACTTTTGGCGCTCTAGCGGTTAATAAACAGAACTGCACACATCCCGCGGAAGAACATTCCAACCGGAGCTACTTCTCTAAGTTTATGTCTATGGCGAATCACGCAGGTATGTGTTACTCCGCAGCGGTGACGAGCCGACCAGGCTACAATAGTCCAAATATAAGTACTTATTATAAGTGTACCGTAGTGATTCGGAATAAGACAAAAACGCGGTTTGGAAGATGAATTCATGATGTACTCGCTCACTATATACATTTTGCAAATTTTTAACACAGAAAAAGTTACATAGTGCTGCTTTAAAGGGGAACAGTCCTTTAAACTTAGAAGTATTACACAGGAGTCACAGTGTAGGAATTTGAAGGAGTTATTGTAGGAATTTATTTAATTGTTAATTTATTTATGTTTAATTTTAGCGTTTTAATATGTGAATGTCATTATGCATGTTACACTACCATTCAGTATGTTTTTTTTCTTCAGAAACGAATTAGAAGAAATTAACTTTTATTGAGCAAGGATGCATCAATCAAAGACTTTTATTTCAAACAAATGCTGTTCTTTTGAACCTTCTATTCATCAAAGAATCATGACACAAATGCATCAAAAAAAATATTAAGCAGCTGTTTTCAACATTAATAAACCTACAGTAAGAAATGTTTCTTGAGCGGCAAATCAGCACATTAGAATGATTTCTGAAGAATCATGTGACACTGAAGATGGAAGGAAAAGAAAATACACTTCATAGCAATGTACTTTTGTACACCAAAGTACTCCAGCTACAGCAAGGATCCATGATGCACAGGGATGTTGTTAATAATACCAGCTGCGTTTTAATGTGTGACTTCATACGTGTGTCACAGGTAATCAAGTCATCAGTGTCCCAAATTCATGTTCACAATATACTGATTCACAACATAGAGAACTATGGAATGGAATGAGTCACAGTCATATTCTCTTCAGTATGCACCAAGTGTTTCTCAAGCAGATGTAATTTATTTACTCTGAAAACAAGACAACAATACTGATGAGAAAAATAGAAAAACTGCATGAACTGACTTTAAATCAACTGTAGTAGGACTGCCTCGTGTACTAGTGGGGTTCCTGTGAGGTGGTGATTTGAGAATGGTGCTGGTGAGTCATTGTGGTTGTCTGGGCTTGCAACTCATGTGTGTTGTGCCTGAGGGGCAAGGACACGGCAGGGTTATCCATTATCATGGCACAAAATGGAAGAGAGGATCACTCTTTGTACCCCCTGTGACGTGTTGATGACTAGTCACACAAAGCAGGCCATCCGTGATGGAATAGAAAAGCGAAATGACACCATTCATTAACATTGTTTAGTTTACTGTGCTGGTGTCTCAGAGAGATAGGGTATAATAATGATTGTTTGGATATGCGGCTCAGCTTGTTAGTGTTAACAATAGCCTAAACACGATCGAGAGCCCGTTAAATGTTGCCCAGCAACCCTAGCCTTGTTTCAGGACTGCAGCAGTTTTGTCAGAGGTAGTGCACTTCTCAACATATTGAGCTTTGCTTCTCGTGTGGGTAGTGCTGGTTCAAATCTGGCCTGTAACAGTTCTTTATCTGGTTCCCTACAATTTGTATATTACAAATATATATTTGTTTAATTATAAATGTTTATTACTGTGATAGCAGTACTTCAGTGTCACATGACCCCTCAAAACTCTAATATGCTGATTTTGTGAAACATTTCTTAGCATTATCAGTGTTGAAAACTGTTTTTCATGGCTAATTTTATTTATTTATTTATTATTTATTTGTGAAAGCCATGATACACTACCATTCAACAATTTGGGGTAAATAAGAAAAAAAGAAAGTAAGGGAATACTTTTTTTCACCAAGGATGGATTAAATTGATCTGAAGTGTCAGTAAAGACATGTATAATGTTACAAAACATTTCTACTGCACATAAATGCTCTTCATTGAATTTTCTATTCATCAAAGAATCCTGCAGTTTCCACAAAAAAATATTATACAGCAAAAACTGTTTTCAACATTGATATCAATATTGATAATCATTAATAATAATTGAGCACCAAATCAGCATATTAGAAGGATTTCTAAAGGATTATTTGACACTGAAGTTTGGAGCAGTAATTAAAATAGAAAATTGCTCTATTTTAAGTTTTTAAATTGTAATAATGTTTTATAATACGATTGTTTTATTGTATTTTTAATCAAACAAATGCAGCTTTTGTGAGCATAAGTGACTTCTATCAAAAGCATTAAATCTTAATGGGGTACATGTCCTAACCAGGCATGATATGATAAAAAATGAGCCAATAAATCTCTAAGATGCATCTGTTGATCTGACAGTAACTGTAACTCAAGTCAGCCTTCATTGACTTTTAAATGACTCTTTATGCTGGTTCTCTTCTCACCCTCACTCTCTCTGCAGCTATAACAAACAAATGGCCTCACATAACCTTTCTCTCCAAGGGCTCTGAAATAGCATTTAGTGAAAGGACACGTTCTACAGAGAACAGAAATAGCCCTGCGCTCAAGTTTCCCTTGGTTTGACAGGGTGTGAACGTTCAAGTTAGCTATAAGTCAAATCATAGTCTAATCACACCGATAGCAGCGTGAGATGGTGTGTAATAATTAGCTGAAAGGGGAACGGTGGCTTATTATGCAGGTTTTCATAGACATTCTAATTATGACATTCTTAGAATAGAGATATAAAGAAGAATGTGCAAGCACTGATACAGTAGATATTAGATAAATCATTTTACTTGCATTTTCCCCCTGCATTTTTTGGTGTGCATCTTGAAGGAGAATGATCAGTTAATTGTTTTATTGAAGCAGCCGTTTAACAGGGGTGTGCGATATTGTTGTTTTAAGGATGTGCATACTGACATTGTTGAGAATGTCGCTCAAAAAGCAAAACACCATCGAAATGAAAATAGTTCCAAGCAAAGACACAGCAGAACTGCTGCACATTTCTGAGCAACACAGTGAATAAATCATCAATTCGTTTCTGAATGAATCACCTGTTTTGAATGAATCGTTTGAATGAATGAGTTTAACAATCACTCATTACAACTGGTTTTAGTCTCATAGTTAAAATATCATTGCATGTTATAAATCATTTTATATTTCAATATTTAACATTTTTAAAACATTAATCCTACAGAATTATTGAATTGCAGTGTAAATGCATTTATTCCATCTTAATAAATGAAACACCTAAATGCTATTTTAGATGCAGCTTCTGTGCTGCTTCTGCAGTGCAACAATGGATTTTGTTGATACTGATTTCATTTGATTTGAAGTGTCTTATTATTCTAATTGAATGTAATGGTTACATTTAAGAATTGACCTAAAATATGATTCATACATTTACCAAGGTTATAAAAATGGCCTTATGAAGGTAATAATGCCCATTGGAATCAATTTAATAGGGCAGTAATTGCCTCTTAATGGAAAAGTTCATTTTTGTCAGTGCTGCGAATTAACCACTGCACAGAATATGAAGAATATGAAAAGCTTTGTGAGTCATCGTGAACCATCTGTCCATGATAGGCCTAAACCGAAGTACCAGCACAAAAACACTTAGCAAAATATTGTCTAAATATCATTATCAGAAAAATAATATATATATATATATTTATTTATTTATTTGTTTTTATGAAATATTGCACACCCCTAACAACAAATGATATTCATGTCACATTATGTCTGTAATGTGGTTTTTAATAAAGTATTGCCACCCAAAGCATTGTAGCAAAAACCCAGTGATGTGCTAAAAACATTAGCAATGTGCTAAAAGCACTTCATACTAGATGTACATACATATATTTAGCCTGTATGTGCAGATGAGGGAAGAATGCATGCTATTATAAAGGACTTTGGCTAGTGGCTCAGCATCTGTTTGAAGCAGAGACCTTGACTCTTTAAAGGTTGGCCCTGTGCATGTGTGTGTGTGTGTGTGTGTGTGTAGGCCACTGTTTTTGAACATATTTATGAGGCAGACCTTTAACTGTCAGCCAATGCTTCCTATACCTCGTTTCAGTGAAGCTGTCTCAATGCATGAATACTATATGAGTGGAAAAATTGCTTCTAGAAAATAGCTGTTTAGTTCAATTTAGTTGACTTTAGCTTATTTTTCCTGGTTCTGTTCTTTACTTTAAAAAGATTGTTTGCGGACAAATTCGTCTGTATGAATGTCATATTTCTGTTGTTAATTTTAGTGGTTGGATGATTGAAGTGAAGAATGTGCTATTTCAGGCTATTATAGTGATTTTGCATTCCATTCTCTTTTCAATTTATTTCTTTTGAGCAATACCGGATAACAACAAATAGTATTTTCCTGGAATGCTTAAGGTCATCTCTCTCTCTCTCTCTCTCTTAAATCTGGCAGTATTGTCTGGTGTATTGAAGATACAAATTACATCTGAGCTTCAAACAAATATATGAAATGTATGCATAATCAGATGCTATAATGATGTTCAGTTCCACAGAATAAACTGAAAGCAGCAGAAACGTTATTTCCATTCAGCTAAATGGAACGGTTTTCCTTGGCAGGCCCAATTTATTTTTGGGCTTCTCACCAGAGCAATAAAGGAAAATGGACCTTGACGAGTGATACACTGGAATACTAATTGAGAGGAAAACCTGCTTATCAGGCCACAGGAATAAACAAGCCTCATGTCCACATCAGGAAAGCCAAAAGTGACTGAGTGGTTTGATGGTCCTTGAGTCAGTCTTTCAGTGAAATATATTAAACGTGGCTGCTACCCTTGATATCCTAAATACAGAAGCTTTCTAAAGTATGGAGCCCCACACATGACATGTGAAGTGGTTGGATGATTGAAGTGAAGAATGTGCTATTTCAGGCTATTATAGTGATTTTGCATTCCATTCTCTTTTCAATTTATTTCTTTTGAGCAATACCGGATAACAACAAATAGTATTTTCCTGGAATGCTTAAGGTCATCTCTCTCTCTCTCTCTCTCTCTCTCTCTCTCTCTCTCTCTTAAATCTGGCAGTATTGTCTGGTGTATTGAAGATACAAATTACATCTGAGCTTCAAACAAATATATGAAATGTATGCATAATCAGATGCTATAATGATGTTCAGTTCCACAGAATAAACTGAAAGCAGCAGAAACGTTATTTCCATTCAGCTAAATGGAACGGTTTTCCTTGGCAGGCCCAATTTATTTTTGGGCTTCTCACCAGAGCAATAAAGGAAAATGGACCTTGACGAGTGATACACTGGAATACTAATTGAGAGGAAAACCTGCTTATCAGGCCACAGGAATAAACAAGCCTCATGTCCACATCAGGAAAGCCAAAAGTGACTGAGTGGTTTGATGGTCCTTGAGTCAGTCTTTCAGTGAAATATATTAAACGTGGCTGCTACCCTTGATATCCTAAATACAGAAGCTTTCTAAAGTATGGAGCCCCACACATGACATGTGAAAAAATAAATAACATGGCCACAAATTAAGAATTAATTCCCATGACTAATTTGTGGCCATGCTTTATTAATTAATTCCCTTGTTTTAGTTCAATCATGGCCACATTTCATTAATTTTTTTCCACATTTTATTCCTTCAATTTAATTGAGTTAAAATCAGGGCCATGTTTTAACTTCAGTGAAGGAATAAATGAGTACAACATGGCTATTATTTACCTAAAACAAGGAAAATAATACATAAATTGTAGGAGCAATTTCTTAATCATGGGGACAGTATTTCTTGCATGCAAGGCTAAAGTGAAAAGATAAAAATAACATAAATATTAAACTTTTTTTTATTGATCAGACAACTGAAATTGCATTGACACAATGTGTACCTGTAGCTCAGTCAGTAAAACATAAAAGTCATAATTTCCCACAGAATACATGCATGAATTATGAATCTTTAGTTTAATTTGAGTCACTTTGGATTAAGTAATTTAAATGCCTATACCTCAAAGAAAGTTAGTTACTTTTATGATGGTCATATACTAACATTAGGTGGACTTGTGGAAAAGAAAAGAATATGCAGTATGGCTTGTTTTATGTACACATATTTCTACACACATTTTATTTAAGTAATTATTCACTACATCCCTTCCCTTTCACCAAAACTCTGAAATGTACATCTTTGTGTGTTACATGACTGATTGTGACACAGCAGTTTGAATATGCTGAATAAAGAATTAGATTTGAGAGCACATTTAATGAACATCCAACAGTAAATACTCTTGGTCTACCATAAGCTTATTCTGTAGAAATACAGCAAGGCCATTAATTCTATTACCCTAAGCCTCTTAAAGCCAGAGATACTGAGGAGGGACATGATATATTACATTTATCCCAACTGTAGGCCTACATGCGTATGTTTACTGACTTTCTCCTATCAGGTCATATGGGTGTGTTTGCAGGTATACAGTAATGTTATGGAGCAGTAGAAGCCATAATAATACTGCTCTGAATTCTGCTCCTGTATGGCACTGTGAACTAGATCGCTTTAGGGTCCTTGAACTTACCATGACTTGATTGCCTGCTAAATAATTCATATCAACGTCAACGGCAGATATATGAACTCTCCTTTTTCAGATTCTTGTCATTTTTTGTTTAGGTGTAGATGGATGGATGAACCTAACAGAGATTGACCCAGATGAGGAGGTGCAAGGGGAGATTCACCTCCAGATTTCGGTGCTGGGAGATGGAGATATTCCACGAAAACTGTGCTGCCAAGTCCTAGAGGCAAGGTGAGGAACTTTGAGGAGCGGCAAATGATTTGTGACAGAAACTTATTTAGTTATTTGTTTGTTTTCGTGCATCTTTAATGATCTGTATATCCATTTATCAATCGATGGACGGGAATTGTAAAGTATATAACAGTTCTGGTTCTGATTCCTTTAAGCAGTTCCGGTTCCTTAATGATTACATTTACATTTCTTTTAGTATGATTCTTTTAGTTATTTTAGATGTGAGAAATAAATATTTAGAAATAAAAACTAGTTATGAACTTTCAATGACCAATATTTCTACAGCATTTATTAATCTTAGTTAATGTTAATTTCTACATTTACTAATACATTTTTTAATCAAAAGTTGTATCTGTTAAAATTAGTTAATAAGTTACTTTTATTAACTAACATTAACAAAGGTTAATAAATGCTGTAAAAATATATACAGTATTGGCATAGTTAGTTCATAACTAATGCTTTAACTAAAGTTAACAAATAAGACCTTGTTATAAAGTGTCACAATTTGCTTTTTAAGGTTTTCAGGCGGCATAAATGCAATACAACAATTGGCCTTAACTATATATTAAAATATATAAACAATACAAAATCAACACAAAATACAAGTTCATATACTATGCTGACAAAATGTTAATGCTGTTGAATAGGAAACTCTTGTTTTATTTTTAGGGAAGTATTTTTGGTGGTGGTCACACTTTATTTTAAAGTCCAATTCTTGCTATTAACAAACCATTAATTATGACTTTTGCCTCAATAAACTCCTAACTTGCTGTTTATTAATTAGTAAGGTTGTTAAATTTAGGTATTGTGTAGGATTAGAATATGTGCTTTAGAAGCACTAATAAACAGCCAATATGTTAATAATAGGCATGCCAATAGTGAAAATTGGTCCATATACTAAAGTGTTCCCTTAGTATTTTATTTTAATAGAGTGTTTCATCTGCATCAGTGAAGGAATGCAAGCCATTTAGCATGGCTAGTGCCACAAAAACACTGAATTTTAGTGCCAAAGGTATACTTGTCTGAATTAAACCGTGTGAAAAATGGAACAAGATACTCTAGCATCACATGAAATTTAGCCTGGGTTAGCAATTTGATGTGTAAATACCATTTAGGCAATGTATTTAAAAGATTTTGAATCAAAAACAAAAAAACATGTCATTGTGTGTGAATCAGGCATTGACTGCTAGAATGGGGATTCAGAGATTTGATCTTCATAGGCTACATTTGGATTTGCCTCTAATAGCCTTATGTACTTTCGGCTTGGTTTCTAGAGATCTTGCAAAAAAGGATCGCAATGGGGCTTCTGATCCTTTTGTCAGAGTGAGATACAATGGCAAAACGTATGAGAGCGCGGTAAGGATGTGTCTGTATATTTCTGATTTCATCTGCCACACACTTAGATCTGTCTGTCTGTTGCTGATTACCATGACCCTGCTTCCTCCAGGTGGTTAAAAAGTCCTGTTACCCACGGTGGAACGAGAGTTTTGAGTTTGAGCTGGACGAGACGCTTTCTGACACTAGCCTTTTGAGTGTGGAGGTGTGGGACTGGGATCTGGTCAGCAGAAACGACTTTCTGGGAAAGGTGACTGTACAGACATTTTCTTGAGCATTTAGAGATTTGGTTTAGAGGATTTCCTCATGTTCTAAAGCTGACCTTTGTCTCAGTTTAAAATAAATCACAAAGCATTTAATTAGTACGACATTGTGTGTTTAAAATAAAAACTGTCATTATTTTTTCACCCTCATATTGTTCAAAATGAGTGTGCTGTACTCTCCGTGGATCACAAAAGTATAACTTTTAAATGGTCATGCAGCTCTTTTCCATTCAACGACAGTTCATAGTCCAAAAAAAAAAACTGAAGAAAACATATATCATGATGACAAGAGTCCATAGAACTCATGCACTATATTCCAAGTTGTTTTTTTATTTCATCACGATTAACTGAAAAGACAATACGTCATTCACACACGTCACATGCTATATATATATAAGCTACATTAAATGATGGAGAACTGCACATGATTTGAAACAACTGGGAATGAGGGAACAAATTATTAAAACATGGTCATGAATTAATAGGTTGTGGGAATGTTCTTAATTCATGGCCACGATATTCATTTTTTCTTCCACATGTCATGTTCATGGCTCCATACAAATAGACCTACACTGAACAAAAAAAGGTTTTTGGTCATTTCCATTTGTCCTCTTTATATTTAGAACAATAACTTAAATGAAACAAGCAAACAGTCAAACAATGCAATTAATTATTCATGCCCCAGTGCTTGCTGGGAAAAGTGCAAATGGAACAGAAACACAAAACCATTATTTTTTTCATATTATATTATATTATATTATATATGTGTGTGTGATTGTAACAAGTAGTGTGCTAGTAAAAGCACACACCGCAGGAATAATCCAAAAACAGTCTTTCAAATTATATATCCACACAAGAAACAGAAGGAATCAAGAAGCAAAGGGTAGCACAACACGTAGACAAAAACAATAGCAGACAAAGGACCAGGGAAAAACAGAGGACTTAAGTACTAGAAACTTAATTGGGAGAACTGAAACAGGTGTGGAGCTAATATCATGTTATTGGGGTCGTTTCAACCCGCTGACATGAAAAACAACCCGCGCAAACAAAGTATTTTCGCTTTCGCAACGAAACACACAGCGTCCTCACGACATGGCGGCAGCGAAGGCAGCAACAATAAAGTTACACCTTCTTTCTTTGCATGAACATTTGGGCGGCGTTATGCAAATCTTCCCACACAGTGACGTAGACATGTGGGGGCGTTTAAACGAGGCGTTTTAGGAGGGCGTCGTTGACTCTTAACTTTTATAAAGAATATCTCTTTGGGTTTGAGACTTTAGTCTTTGCAACTTTAGGGGTCTTATATATTCACGAACAGCTTGCAACACTCCAAAGAGAAAGGAAAACTTGAAATCGCATCATATGACCCCTTTAAAGTAGCCCAATTCCGTGGGAAACTGCGGACTTGGCAACACTGCCCGTGATGCTAATCTGCAGTGATTGGTCCGATTGGTCGATTTCATTTCCATTTCATCTTGCCTGTAATGCCTGATAAAGCAGCGTTTGTGAGCGCAGTGCTGCTTTGTGTACAGTGTTACCGGGGAAACCACTATTTTTACTGCTCCAAAAGTGGCACCTAGTGGCAAAGAATGAATTTTCATTCATAACTGTAATTTAAGTAACTGTAATTTAATTACAGTTAAATTTATTTTTAATAAATTTTAAATTTAATTCAGTTACGTAATAGCTGGTTACTAATTGCACTATAGTGCAATTCCTGAATTTACCTAAACAATTGAAGCATAGTCACTGTTTCATAACATTGCGTTTGTGCCTCTGTTTGACAGATGTTCACTGTGACATTGCCTTTGTCACCCAATAATAAGTGTTCCAATTGCTGTGTTTAGCTTCGGTTGCTTTGACAGCTAATTGTCACATCAATTGATGTGTTTTCCTTCAGGTCCTGTTCAACATCAACAAGCTTCAGTCTGCCCAGCAAGAGGAGGGCTGGTTTCGCTTGGGGCCTGACAAATCCAAACACAGTGAATATGAGTGAGTGTATTTGGAATTGTGGCAAATATACACACCGCCTAAGCAAACCTTGAGCTTTGGTTGCCACAGCAACAAATATTCACCTTTAACGGTTGCCTGTGGCAGAGCACATTAAGCAATTGGCAGAAGGACAATAAAATATAATGGATAACAAAACTAAAAAAAAAAAAAAAAGTGCAACTTCCCTGGGAATTAGTCTGAGCTAACATTGGAGGATTGTTACGCACTCTTCCCAGGCTTTCGCAGTGTTACGCTTGTGTGTTCTGCTCCATGTGTTGACAGGAAGTACTAATCCTTTCCCTGGCTAAATCCTGGGATTTTTTTCTGTTCGTTTGCTCGATTTTCCCCTCCACCCATCCCTCCTCTCCACCCATAAGAGATCATTTGGCCACGTGGATTGACAGTGGGGATTATATCTCAAGCTGGCACAGGAGGAGTGGGATGGAAAGGCTTATGTAAAAACTCCAGTAAGGGGGATTCGGTTGGGTGATGATAAAAGCTATGCGTCATCTGAGAGCTTGTGTTGAGTTTGTGGGTAGATTAAGACAGAGAGTGTTTTTGGGGACACAGCGTGTCAGTGTGACAGACTTGTGTCCACATGGGCAAAGGAGTCATTGACATTCATTCATTCGTTCATTTATTCATTCACTTGACATGATTGTGCTGAAGAACTTACTGTCTAAATCCTTCTACGAGTCACGTAGTTCAAACTCCACTTCTACACGGATAAATGGATCAGGCTTGAGCACCTCTACACAATGTTTGTAGACAAGGTGTAATATTATGTAAATGTCGGTAGCAGATAAGGGCATTTGAGTGTCATATGTAGACTTTTTTTATTATTTAAAATGTTGGACCATTCCATATTCATATATCTTCTTAAAGGCCAAGGGATTGTATTTAGGATGTACATGGACTGTATATCCATGATTTCAGGATTAACCCGCATGTTCCATTGAGATTGGCTCACAGTTTGACTTTATTGTCCTTAAGTTGAGGGGGTCCTAGAGATAAAAAATAATAGGAGTATTTCCAGAATTAAAAATGAAAATTCTATCATCATTTACTCACACTCATGTTGACTTTCTTTCTTCTGTCGAACTCAAGAGAAGATAGAATGTTGGTAACCAAATACTTTCAGATTCTGTTTACTTCAGTTATATTTTTTGACCAGACAGTTCCCAAGTCAATGGGAATTAACCTAAATTGTTTGGTTAACCTCTGTTAACATCTTTTATTCATTTCAAACTCTTGTAATTTGACCCTCTGACCTAATCAGAATCAGAAGAGCTTTATTACCAAGTATGTTTACACACACAAGGAATTTGACTTGACGACAGGAGCTTCCAGTGTAGAAGAAAGTACAAACATAGTGCAGACATACATGATAGTGCAGACATACATAGGAATAACACAGTAGGGATGTAATATAACACTAATATAATAAAAAAAGAAAAATTAAATAATGTACTATATACAGAAATAGAAGTATAGGAACAAATGTAATTGTTTAGATATAAACCAATAATAAACCAATTCATATTAATTAATATAAACTAATATTAATATAAATATGAATATATTAATATTAACTAATATAAATTAATATAAACCAATTGGACAGATATTATTGAAACACTAACCCAAAACTAATGTAACATTTTGATGGACTTTTGAAATAACTTCATATGAACCTTAGCCTTTAAATTTTGGAGTTTCAATATGATACTTCAATCTTAAGATTTTCGAGCTATTAAAAGGGACTTGGGCCCTTATAATAATTGATTTTTACTAATGGATGTTAATCTACACCACTGTTTAAAAGTTTGGGGTTGGTACGATTATTTTCATGTTTTTGAAAGACATTTCTAATGCTGCATTTATTTGACCAAAATACAGTAAAAACAGTACTATTGTGAAATATTATTAAAATTTCAAAATACTTGTTTTCTATTTTATTTTAACATATATATTATTCCTGTGATTTCAAAGCCAATTTTTTTGCATAATTTCTCCAGTCTTCAGTGTCACATGATCCTCCAGAACTCATTCTAATATGCTGATTTGCTGTTCAAGAAACATTTCTTATTATGGAGAAATAATGTTGATTGCATTAGGATGGGTGATTGTGGGCTGACTGGTTGTTTTGGATAAAAACCATTTGGTTGGTGTTTAAGTTATTGTGGATTTGTTATTTTGTAAGGAATATATAAAGATACGAAGATCATATAAAAATATGAAGATGTAATATATTAAAAGATATACTGGAACGGTATGGAATTGTATACGGGGTGGGAAAAATAATACGCTTTTGCTTCATCCCGCTCCTTTTCGGACATTTGTTATAACGTCTTTGGGACGTGGTTTTTCTTTGGTGCTGCAACATATTTGTTGTGTTTATATATTTTGTTTTATATTGTGCTTTGTTCGAAATAAAATGAAAAAATGAAAATAGTATTATCAGTTGTGCAGTTATACAATTTAAAGCATCTTTGCTGAATAAAAGTATTCAACTCTTTAAAAAAAACCCCACCTCAGTAAGACCAATATTTTAATGGTAATTTATGTCTGTAAACGTTACATTAACTATTTAATATAGAAGACTCAAGAACATTGAAATGACTGCTGTAATATTAAACTGATATCGACAGTTCCTTGGTAAACCAAAAAGCTGGTTTTAAACTTCGCTATATTTTAAGAATGTTAAACTATATTATAAAATATGCTACCACAATTTTGTTTTCAAAATTGGCAGGTTTAGGCTGCTTTGAATATGCTGATGTACGACCATCTGTTCCTGCTAAACAGTTTTTACTTTTTTCTACTCTGACCAGATTTAAAAAACAAGATGGGAATTAAAATGTCACAGCCAATCCTGAACAAAGGATTATTTGACTGTAGGGTTGAATTTTTTTTGCCCACATGCAATAGCAAAAAAAGCATTGTTTGATAATCTTGTCTCTGAGTCATCATGGCCCTGTATATATTTGCATAATCAAATATATAGTTATTAACTTATTTATATTTTTATAACTTATATATTTTTATATATCTTCATGCTTCGTTAGGATGTCCCTGATGTTATTTGTGATTTTTCTTTAGGAAGGTTTTTTTTTACTCATTCTGATGTCATCCTGATGAAAAGTTTCCCATTAAGCTTCTATAATCTCTGGCTCCCCTTGGGTGATCCGCTCTCATCTCAGTGAACAAATCAAGCTGTTGTTGTTTTTGTTTATTTTCTCTTTCTTCTCTTTTCACTCCCTCACCATCTTCTTCCTGATTGGATTTTTGACGGCCTACCATCTGTTGCCTGCTGTTCAGTGACTGGCTGTTATGGCGGCACTCACCACACACACAGATACTCTCTTCCAATTCCCACCTTCCCTTGAGTATTACCCATCTTTACAGTGAGAGAGCATGTGGTGTATGGAGTGACTGCATGTGCAAGTTACAAAATATTAATGCTATTTGGAAAAAACAAAGCTTTGAGAGGGTCATATAATGACAAATCTAGTTTTCTTAATCTTTCGAAAAAATAAATAAATAAATAAGAGGAAATGTTAGATAATTCCAGTCCATTTTTAACAGTTTGTGTGCCACATTTCAGTGTGGAGTGTTTTATGAATCAATGTGATAAAAGCAGTTTACCCAAATTGAAAATACTATGGGAATTCCCGTCAAATAATGACAGAAAATTTCTTTTTGGGTGAACTATCCCTTTAAAGGTAAACCTTTATTTTAAGTCTTGAGTAATTTGCTCATTCATTATAGCAGTATCTTGATTTAATGGGCCTGGGATGAATTTCACCCCAAGAGGAGACTATAACAGATTGGATATTTTTAGACCCCTTTCTCCAGGGCTTCTGACATTTTCTGTCCCTTCTTGTACCTTGGACCCTTTGTCAATTAAGTAGGTGCAACTCTTGCAAACTTCCTTGTGGTTTGTGAGTTCTACATGTAGAGCAATCAAAGAGAAAATAGGTCACAATACTATTTACACTATGAAAGCACTAATTATGCTGTTCAAAATACATATAACTGTGGTTAAGTAAACACAGCATCAGTTTCTGCTTGTTTGGTGTGAAAACAAAATGCTGATGCTCAACAGACTGAAACCTTGTGTGCTGTGCGGAGGCAGTATATTAAGTCATCATAGGCCTATAAAAATGTTCAAAAATGTATGCAACTTAAAAGGATAGTAAATTTATATTTACATCTCTTTAATTATGGCGCTTTCTGAAATAACTTCTTAATGCAGCATAGAAAAGAATTCCAAAGAATTCCAAGATTTTGGATGAGACCAACAAAATGATAATTAGAAATACATTTTCTGTTTATTTTAATTTAATAATAAACTTAATATTACCGTTTATTGCAAAGTCAATGCTATTAATAATTGTTTAAATAAATATATTAGTAGTAGTATTCATAAAATAGTTCAAATATCTAGTTCAGTCATGAGGCTCTAGATGGTGCAGGCTCATAGGTCCTTCACATGCAATGTGACAGCAATTACATTATTTACTACATGGCACAAGCTGATTGGCCTCTGCTGATTATGCAGCCAATGAGATTCCTTATTCAACATTTAAATAGTCTTGTTCAGTATTCGCTGCAAGCTGGTCCTGCAGTGCATCAAAGTTCCTCTGAAACCCTCCACCTCCCCTAGCTCCACCTATCTAGATCTGCTATGGAATTTATATATGCCTATTCATGCAGCAGCATATTTTACATTTTCACAGCAGCATGTCTGTGCATCTGTTGGCAGTAGCAAGTCCATTTGCTCTACAGCAGTGTGTGTGGCAGATTTAGCCTGTCAAGACATATCCATTAACATGCTAAAACTTGAGAGTTGAGAGTTGTCATGGTTGAAATATATTAATATTACTCCAAAATCAATTAAATATATAAATTCAAAACAGATTATTTTCCTGTTACCTAATATTTGTGTGAACTGTGTATGTTAGAATGTTTCACCATTACCTTATCATCATGCTAAAGTCAAAGTCTTTTGAAATGAAATGAGACTCATGTCTTCCCTGTGGAGTGTTTTTAGTGTGGTTTGCCGTGTTCTACTTATAAAGTGTTTCAAGAGTTTTTATGGTGATTTGGATGCCACCTACGTGGGCAGTAGGTTTGCAAGCTTGTTTTGAGGATTGTGCGGCTGCGGTCTGCATAAACCGAGTGCCATTTTTACTTTAGTGTGAAACATACATTTCTAAAGCCAAATTGTCTTCAAATGCTTGCCGCAATATTGTGTTTTTCAGTTGGGCTGCCACGGTGTCCTCATTTTCTGTTCCATCATGACAGAGCTAGAAAACACAGCCACCCACATTCACAGTAATAACATTTACTGTTTGGCTTTTTTATGTATCACTGAACAAAGCAGTGTCCTTAATGGAGTCATTCTGGGTAATATTGTTTGTCTGCCATGCTGAGTTTTAGTTCCTGGAAAGGTTTCACTGTGTTTTTTCATTATGAGTAAGCCCTCACAGAATGTTTTCTTAGGTGAAACTAAAGGTTAATTATATTTTTTCACAGTTTTTTCATCAATCAAACATTAAAATCACATTTTAATCCAAAAAGTGAAGACACTATATGTCAGTAACATAATTTAGTATTGCTGCGATTCTCTCATTCTCTCCTAGAGGAACTCTGGGTTCTCTGCGTCTGCAGCTACGGCTTCGAGACGAGGTTGTGTTGCCATCCAGCCATTACAAGCCACTCACAGAGCTACTCAGCCAGTCGGTCGGCTCTCAGCTCAACGTGAGTCTGATGCCATTTGGACTGAACCTTATCTCAGGGAATATGCCTGTGCATTATCTCTTAAATTCACATGGCATATTCCTCGTAACAAGATAACAAGACATAATTTGGTGTATGGATTGTGAAATGTGGCACTCGTTGTTATCTGATCTCATTTGTATGCATGCGATGGATACTTTATTCGTGCCTGCTCATGTTAAAGGGACAGGTCACCCAAAAATTCTCACATCATTTACTCGCACTTACAGTATGTTGTTCCGAATTTCAATGGCTTTCTTCTTTCTGTGGATCACAAAAGAAATATATGGTAAATTTTTCTATCTGCTCATTTCTGTACCTTTTGTGTTCCAAAGTCATATGGGTTTTGAACAACACGAGGGTGAGGAAAGGACCATTGAATTTTCTTTTTTGGGGTGTACTGTACCTTTAAAATGTTGCACAGTAGAACAAGCAATCAAGCAAGCATGTTTTTTGTAGTTAATGTGTTATGGTTTTAGCTCACAGTGTTGCATTGTGTATATCTTAAGTTAATTTTAAGCATAACCTCATTTGTGACTGAAATGATTGTGTTAATTGTAGGGCAACTTCCCTGATTTCATCATGCTGATTGATGAGACCACTACAGCAGAGAGCAGACAGGAAGTAGCTAATAATCTAGTGAAGCTGTTTTTGGGTCAAGGGCTTGTCAAGGAGTTTTTGGATGTTCTGTTCAAACTGGAGCTGGAAAAGACTAGTAAGCAAACAAACACGAAACATATACGTGTGAATTACCTGTTTATTTTAGTAGCACCCATACTGGTAAGGAGCTTTCTAAATCCTATGTGCACTGTCATGCTATTGATGCTATGATTTTGTTTGTTTTTCTTCAGCTGAACCCAACACACTATTCCGCAGTAATTCATTAGCATCCAAGTCTATGGAATCATTTTTGAAGGTAAATATGCTTATATAATATAATCCACATGATTTCTTAAACCAGGGAAATCCTAGTTCAGTGGTAAAAAAAAAATAACAACAGAATTTTGTTGAATTTGATATGATCTATGAATTAAAAAACATGTGCAATATTTTTTTAATTGTTGTGGTGTCACTATTATTATTAATAATAATTATTAACATTTTTGTGTATCAAACTGACCAAAACTAGTTCAACAAAAATATGAAATTCAACAAAAAATGTCACTATCTAACATTTTCAAATTGTATTATATTTTTATTTTCACAAATTGTGAATTTACTGTATACAGTAATTACACCTTTTTTACACTTTTCAAATGCTGTTTAATGTTTGTGCTTTTGGAAATGAATCTTTACTACCCCTAAGTAGACTTATTATTTTGAACTTTCGGGAATGTTTAAAATACTGTGTAAAACAGTCCCACTCCCTGTTCAAGCCGTGTTATGTGTCAAAAACCAGGACTGTCCCCAAAACAAGGAAGACTGATCGCCCTAATATGTGTCGAATGTGTAATAATTATGCTGAAATCTTTAAACTGATTTCAATTGAATATGAAATCCAGACTTTTGACTTGCAGCATGAAGTCTGATACTCACTAGGCGCGTTTCCATTACAGATTTACGCAAAACTTTGGAGATATTTTATAAATGTCGATAAAAAAAAGTATTGCGAAATGACGGCGTTTCCATTAACCAATGTTATGCGACTAAAACGTAACCTTTTGCCTCTCGCGATAAATCATGGCAACGGATTTGGGTGGGATTTTAACGGATTTTGACTATATTTATTCAAAGGAGGCGTAAGCGTGTATCTTTACAGAAGCAGCACAGAGAGCCGTTTCAGAAACGTGCGTGGCGCGGCTGGAATAAACACAAGCATTGACTAGAGTGGCCGTAATCAGCTTCAGTGGCCGTATCAGAGCCACACTGCACCGCAGACGTGTGCAGTGTAAATTGTCTAAGCATTAATGGTAGGAAAGCCCCTTATACTGGAGACCGGCCACGTATGAAGTGTTTCTTGGAGGTTATAGTAGGCTACACTGACGAATGATCATGATTTTTACATACGCCATGTGACCTGTAAATGCGAAAAGCCCGTTTCCATTGCAGTTTTGCGAATTATTCCTTTATCGCATTGCCTGAAAAACCACCTCATGCGAGCGTAAAAACTTTTTTGCGATATATGGGCGTTTTGGCGAAATTGACGCGTTTCCATTAGGCGTATTTTCAATTCGCAATTTCAATTTAATGGATTTTTTTATGTAATGGAAATGGAAACACGCCTAATGACATTTATTGTAGTTAAGAACTGCACACATTTTGAGAAAAGTTTGTAAAGACAAACATGAATCAGTAAATATGTTAATTTGGATTTCATGTTAAATTAAGCATCAGTTTTGCTGTGTTGCAGATCTATTCCAGCTTAATCCTCCTGCTGTTTTATTATATTTTATTCCAGCAGTTTTCATAATGTGATTATATGCAATATTACACAAAGGCACCTTTGTCTTCATTCTCTCACGGCAGGTGGCTGGGATGCAATATCTGCACAGGCTTCTGGGCCCGATAATAAACCGAATCTTTGAAGAAAAGAAATATGTAGAATTGGACCCAAGTAAAGTAGAACTGAAAGAGGCAGGGTAAGACAAAAAAATGGATGACTCCTACTTCCAATTAGACTTTTCATGGTTTGTAAAGGTCATTTACTCTGAATTTTTCCTGGGTCTTTTGGTATTATAGGTGTGCAGGTTTGCACCGTCAGCAGACTGAGTCTGATATTATTCAGCAGAGCTCCAGCCTCCTGCAGTCGTACCTGTCTGAGCTTCTTACCTCCATCCTGCAGTCGGCCTCCTACTGCCCCCTGCTCATCTGCCAGGTTTTCCATCAACTCTACCTCAGGGTTCAGGAACGCTTCCCTGACCCAGAGTACCGGGTCAGTCACGTACATTTTCAAAAATTATACTTAAAAGTTCACCTGGAACAGTATGGGTTCTCATGGTGTGTCCTAGTGTCCTGACAATTCACTAAAAATGTAAATATGTCCAAATTTCAGTTGATTTAGTTGCCCATTTTTGCCCCAAAAATTCCATAGACTTACACTGATGACAGGCCTTACTAGAATATAATGCAGATTTATGGGTGGACTACTTTGACTATTTTGTACCTGTAACACAGTTCATAGTTTGTCACAGTACCATTTTAAAATGAGACATTAAAGGATAGTTCACACAAACATACATTTTTTGTCATTTGCTCATCCTCATGTTGTTTAGCCCCTTAACTCTCACTGTCCCGCTAGCAGAACACCTAAGTTTACTTCAATATATTAAAATTAAATCCAAAGCTAATCATGACAAACTATATATCGTTGGAAAGGTCTAAGACTCCTAAACAGATATTTTACCACTGTTTGTTGTTAAAAATTATGTAGGAGCAGTAATAGATTAATTTATGACAAGAGTGCACCTCAAAACATATACACCATAACAGGAGCTCTGACCTTTGTCACAAAAATTCTATTCGTTTCCTATCACATGTTTTAGTAATCATCATATATTATATATCATTTGAAAGCTTGAAAGCTAAAAACCTCAAAATTCATCTTGGGAAAACCGTTTTGAAATCGGACATTGCGTTACCATAGAAATGGTACTTTAAAATCTTTTAGCGGGCTCCTCCCCCTTAGTGCGGCGTGTCATATTACAAAATGTATTACGGTCTTTTGGAATCGAAACTTTTTAGAATCTTGACAAAATACATATCGTCGGAAAGGCCTGAGTCTCAAGATTCCATATTTGGTATGATAGGAGTAATACTGAGAGAGAAATTTATACATTTGTGACAGAAAAATGTATTAAAAAAATCCAATGGAGTTTGGATGGCACCCGGTGGCTGTTTGTGGTATAACGCCTAAACAAAATTGCATAGTAACCTCAATTTTTTTTATATCAACTTCAAATTTGGAACACAACTTATTTAAACATATGGCTTTAATTTTATGCCAAATTTGGATTAAAACCTGTTTTGACAAATATTTATTTTATATAAAATAAAATAAAAATAGTACAGTGCATTTTCTTTACAGTAAAATTAAACTTCTATAACTTTTTTTTTTACTTTCATTTTTTTAAAATGATTTCACTTCTGCAATAATCTGCTAATTGTCTTCTTTAAAAAGAGACCAACCTTACGTCTGTATTCAAAAGCGTTCATGAATTATAACAATTTAAAGGCACAATATGTAATTTTCGCCGCTAGAGGGCGCGTATTCAAAATAAACAAAGAATCAAAGGCGTAGTTTGATGATGCCTTGACTGAGTGTGGAATCATGGAAGTTATCGTCTTCATCCCCACAACCGATGCAATCCGACGGGACTCGGGCAGAAATCATGTTCATGGATGAGCTAATGATTTATTAACATAGTAGAATGAAGCAGGGTGAGGCTGAAAGCCGTCGAAG